ACTTGGCACGCAGCTTGACTGTATGCGAGGTCAGGTTTCGGGGGAAGAGCAGTCTGCCATGTCATGAGTCATTGAGTCAGCGTGCTCACTCTATGCGTTGCTGTCGGGCGATACTTGCATCCTCGTGGCTGAAGGCCTTAAGCCTCAGAGCACCCCGTATGCCTCCTGAGGGATCGCATCACGTGACGAGGAAAAATGACCCGTTTGCTGCACGGCTGCACGAGGTCGAACGCATTCTGCACGCCATGCAGGCAGCATGTTTCTTGTTATGGAAAAACCTCACCCTCCGAAGTCGGGGGCTCCCTGCAGCGATTCTGAGGATTGTCATGCGGCACTTTCGAATTGGCTTCACGCCTGGTCCCCTGCCAAGAAGTCCTGGTGCTGTGTCGTGCCGGCTCGCTTGACATGCAGTGTTGGACATTTGGTTCGATGCAGCTATCGGATCCCCTGACCCACACTCGTGCTGTGTCCTCGAGGTCTTAAGGGATTTTGGGCTTTTGGGGAGCGGGGTGGTGTAGGTCGAGGTTGTGTCGAATGCAGCGATCGTTAGGAGACTTCGACCTCGTCTATTTACCCAGGTCCCAGAGCGCAAATCCAAGATGGTAAGCTCAAAATGCAGCTGACCCGAAACGCGAGCCCCAATCGCCCCAATCTATGTCTGGGGGTCTGCAGGGTCTAAGCCGTCGCAGGCTCATCGTCATTTTGGCTGCCCAGGGACTTTTCACGCAGCTTGACTGTATGTGAGGTCAGATTTCGGGTCGTTGCTGAAGGCCTTAAGCCTCAGAGCACCCCGAACCCTTGGGATGGCTTCTGAGGGAGTGGGGCATGACGAGGAAAATTTGCCCGCATGCTGAGTAAGGGGCCTTGTGTCTTGAAACGACAGTGCATCAGTAAGGTGTGGAATGTCAAAGGCTGCTAGCCTTAGCAAAACGTCAGAGCTGCCTGATGGACCTATCACTAGGGGATTTAACTCGATTGTTCCTGCATGCTTTCGGAGAAAAAACTGAGCTGCTACCAGGCCGTGCCAGCTCATGATGTGGACGTGTCCAGTGACATGGTGAGGATGATCCTTGGTCAGAAGGCTGATGTTAACCATGGGGACCAATTCGGCTATACAGCCCTCATGCTCGCCGCGCAGTTCAACCAATCCACCGACACAGTCCAAGCGATGCTAGATCACAAGGCAGATGTGAACCGCAACAGCACATATGGCAGCACCGCCCTGACACTTGCCGCCCAGTATGGCTCCACGGAGATGGTTCGGGTGATCTTGGGCCACAAAGCTGATGTGAACCATCAAATGAAGAATGGAGGCGCTGCTGTCGCAGTTGCTGCCCACTTTGGCTCTCCCGAGATGGTGCGGTTGCTCCTGAAGCACAAAGCCGACGTGAATGCTAGGGACGAGCACGGCACCACAGTGCTTATGAGTGCATTTAGTTCCAAGCATCCGACCGACATGGTTCAAGTGGTGCTGGATCACAAGGCAGATGTGAATCGCAACGACACATTTGGCAATACCGCCCTGACACTTGCCGCCCATTATGGCTCCACGGAGATGGTTCGGGTGATCTTGGGCCACAAAGCTGATGTGAACCATCAAATGAAGAATGGAGGCGCTGCTGTCGCAGTTGCTGCCCACTTTGGCTCTCCCGAGATGGTGCGGTTGCTCCTGCAGCACAAAGCCGACGTGAATGCCAGGGACGAGCACGGCACCACAGTGCTTATGAATGCATTATTTGGTTCCAAGCATCCGACCGACATGGTTCAAGTGGTGCTGGATCACAAGGCAGATGTGAATCGCAACAACACGTTTGGCAATACCGCCCTGACACTTGCCGCCCGGCATGGCTCCACCGAGATGGTTCGGGCGATGCTGGATCACAAGGCAGATGTGAACCATCACAACAGGGTTGGAGGCGCCGCCCTCACCATCGCCGCCCAGTATGGCTCCACGGAGATGGTTCGGGTGATCTTGGGCCACAAAGCTGATGTGAACCATCAAATGAAGAATGGAGGCGCTGCTGTCGCAGTTGCTGCCCACTTTGGCTCTCCCGAGATGGTGCGGTTGCTCCTGAAGCACAAAGCCGACGTGAATGCCAGGGACGAGCACGGCACCACAGTGCTTATGAATGCATTATTTGGTTCCAAGCATCCGACCGACATGGTTCAAGTGGTGCTGGATCACAAGGCAGACGTGGATGCGGAGGATGCGAAAGGCTACACGCCACTAATGCTTGCAATTAAACACAGCTCTGACGAGACCATCAAGCTGATCCTGGATTGCGACCCTGACGTAAACAAGCACAGCTTTGGGGGCTCAACAGCACTGATGCTGGCTTCTTCGGGCAGGTCTCTGACCATAGTGGAACGGATCCTCCAACACAGGGCTTTGCCGAATGCTGTTCGACCCTTCGATGGACTTACGGCCTTTCATTGGGCTGCTAGAGCAGGCAACGGAGGAGCAATCTTCTCGCTTCTGAAGCATCGCGCAGATGCAAACGCAAAGAACGCTGCTGGCCAAACACCACTCATGGTTGCAGTTCAGAGCGGCTTGTTAAGCACAGCCGAGTACATCGTTGAACACGGAGCGGCTCTGGAGCTACGGTCCAACACCGGCCAGACTGCTTTGCAGATGTCGCAACAGCGACTCTTCCAGAGTGAGAAGCAGGTCCAGCACGCCATCGGCAATATCAAGAGGTCAACTTCTTATACGGGCCACGTCCGGAAGCAGTTGCTGGACGCTGTCGAGAACGAGGCTCGGACCGCAAAGTTGTCAGGGAGCCTCTCCTCGAAGACCGACAGTGGCTTTGCCGTTTTTCGCAGTCAGCTGAATTCCTCCTTTCTTTGGTCACTCCGATTGTTTCAGCAGAGTCATTTTCGCGGGTTCTTTTACATTCGCCGCAAAAGCCCTCAACCTTGAGCTGAATCGCCTGCACAGCTAGAGGACCCCGACACTATCGTGCAGTCCAAATTCGAGCCTCTAACCAGCGGCACTGTAGAGGCTTCAGTAATATCGATTCTTCTTCGTTCATTTGTAACATAGACACTCTTTTCGCGGCCGTCTGACCAGGCTGTGCTTGGCACTCGGATTTGTGTGCGGAGCCATTGGTGGAGCGACAGTGGCGTACCTTCAAGCCTCGGCGGCTACATACTCTCATTTGGAATCGGACAAGCTGAGGCTGGGCTCACGACGCATTGCCCTGAAGGCGGATCGAGGGTTCTACAGTTTCCGGTCTTAGAATCTCGGGCTTCAGGCCCTCCACACTCCTTTGCAGTCAGATTTGAGCCCAAAGACTTGCAGGCGCTAGTTCCACTCCGTGCCCGGCTGTGCTGCCAAACGTGGCGGGCTATGGAGGCAATCAGCTGCCTTTTCCTTCCACTGGGCTATGCCATGCTTTGGATCAACTGGCAGGTTGGGGTTGGGACCCAGGGGTGTTGAAGGTCGCAAAGAAGTTGGGTGGAGGTCTTTTTCAGCACCGTGACAGTAGTAATTCGAATCCGGGACAAGCAGCCATGCTGTAGTGGCCTTGATTAAGGTCGTATTCTTCTTCTTCATGCTTCTATACATCCTGCCTACTGCCTGTGCACTACGGCGTTGGGCAGAGGCTTACCGGCACCCGATCCTGTTGCTTGTGGATTCGTGCTCGTTCAAGGAGTTTTCTGCAGCACGCATCTGGCGGATGCTGGGCACAAGTGTCCTGCTGTATGTCACATGGGCCTTGCCAAAGGAATGCGACTACGAAGTGAGGTACCAAATATACGGCTACTTTAGCGTTAAGGACAAGGTGAACGGCACCCTCGCAGGTGTCATGGTCCATGACTATGGTTGGCCATCCTGGGTAGGTGTTCCATTGCTAAGCCGTGCTTCAGCAGAGCTCGTTTGCCCTGCATCCAATCGCATGACGTCGGGGAGACACTACTACTTCCTTTACCTCAGCGGCATCTGGTATGTGTCAGCACTGTGGCTCGCTCTGAGCCTTGGCTTGGCCGCGCTTGGATGTTGCTGTGGTGGCAACGGCTTCAGCATCCTCCACATCGAGGAGGCAAAAGTGGAAGAGCTGGCGAGCTGCATCCAGAAGACTTGCTGCGCTTACGAGATTCACAGACTTTCGACGGACCAAGCGATCGTGGAGCCAGAAAAAGCTGCCTCAGTTCCCAGCGGCATTTTCTTCCGGCTGCTCTTGGCCTTCGTGGATGCGTTTGTTATGGATTTCTTAAGCATCTACAACTACATTCGTGGCCTTAAGTTCAAGTTTGCCGGTATCTTGTTGGGCATCACCTCAGCGTCCTTCGTCTTGGAGTGTGCTGCCGGCAATGTGTTCGAGCTGAAGCATGCTATCAAAGAATCCATGGAACGGGGCTTCTGGGGCTGCAATAAAGCATATGCATAATGTCGCCGGAAGTGTTTTGTTTGTACTGTTCTCGGCTGATGCGGTTTCGCAGTAACCCTGAAATCTTTGAGTGAGTCTTAGGCATCGTGACCACGAACCTTCAGATCTTTCTCGAACTGGAGCAAAGTTTCGAAACGCCTCTGACCATGTGCTTCACGGTCTACGCCTGGAGCTTCAGTGTACAAGATGACTTTTCACTATTTCAGGGTTTGGTTGCCCTTGCTATATCCCTGTACAGCTTCTCCGATTATGTAACATGGCTGGTGGACCTGCGACTGCACGGAGACGACTTGCAGTATGCCAAAGTTGCAACACTATCAAGAGCCTCCGACTGAACTTCCTCTGTTGTCAAGCCACTTTACATCTGAAATCAGATATACCACGGAAGCCACATTCCAAGCTGCTTCAACATCGCATTGCACAGAGGTCCTGTGCCAGTAGCCTGCTTCGTTATGAGCCGTTTTCCGTAGACCTGCATGCTGGGGTTCCAGGAGCATTGCCGCTCCTGCTGCTCTGCTGCTGCTCCTCCTACTACTGCCGCCACAACATCGTCATCAACAACTACTACTACTGCTACTACTACCACTACTGCTGCTGCTGCTGCTGCTACGACTACTAAGCCCTAAGTCTAGAAGTCCTGCAGTATATGGGGGTTTCATAATACAGTGTCTTTTAGGGCTTGGAGTTAAAGTCGCAGGGGTTGTGCTACATCAGTTCTCCAAAGTATTCGAATTGTCTGCTATTGCAAGAAGGACCTTCGAAAGTGGTCCAGAATTTGGATTACGATCCGTGGCAGAGTTTGATCGAATCTCGATCTGCCATGCAACTTGTACACTCGTCGCTTTGGACTTGGTCTGCGCCGGTCCTTGCGCTGACCGAGTCCTAGCGACCAGAAGACCTGCCGCAAGGTTCTGCTAGGGTATTAAACATCAGCTACCATAATCAGGAAGCCCTACTATTTACTATAGATCCCTATTAAAGGGTAACTTAAATTAAATCCCTTAACAAGAGACCAGCTGAACCTTGCTAGACTACGGCGTGAGCGGAGACGGATGCTGCTATTTGTATTAAGAGGGTTGCTTTGCACATTGGAAGTGCAGTATTTCGGTGTGCTTCCGGAAGATTTGCGGCTCAGGGTCGACCGGGAATCCAGACGATTGGGATTGATGGGTTCTTCTGGAGAAGCTTGCGAAATCCTCATCTTGGCAGCTCTCGCAGTCAGCACCTGAGACATGTTGGCTGGGCTCGGAGCGAACCCTAAACCTTAGACCCAAAGCCATAAGCCCTAAACCCCAAACAATAGGAGAGGCCGGCACACATTCCAGACGGCATTGGCCGACCAGAGGGGCACGACTGTCGACGAGCAACTGCGATACCCTAAGTATCCTAAGCTCTGCAGATCATACTACCGTATATTATATTCTTCGTTTTCAGTGGTGCACCTGCTCTTGACAGTCCGCTCTAAGCAACTCTTCACCAACTTCCCCGGATTCTTTTGAGACTTGCTGGGCTGGACCTGCGACTGATATGTCGCCGGGGTCATGGCTGGGCTGCGTTGTACATGTGTAAAGTGCCCGAACTTCACTTTGCCATTCCATTAGATTATGCAGACCTCAAAGACAAACGCCAAGCTGGGCATATGTAGGCTCAGTGCATTAACAACTATCTCGCGGGCCCCAAAAGCCATAACCCGCGGCGTCTTCCGCGGATCCTTGTTTCACTCACTGCAAATTCGTTAAGGCCCAATGCGCCTTCCTTCATGAATTTCCAAGTTTCGCGTTCGGGCTTTATACTGCATAGCTAAAGATGTAACTAGGGATCTAAGGGTTTGAAAATCAGATAGATTAAGGTTTAGCATCACGTGTTTAGGCCTTGAACGTGTAAGCTGCATGTCCACGGACACTGCCTTTTCATCGCCGTGTTTGCGGCTGGAGGTCAAAGAGCAACGAAGAGTGAAGTGGACATTGCCATTCGTGCCAGGTGGCTTAGACATTAGGGTCAATCCCCCGGCACCTCTACGTCCTGAAAAGTAAGACCAAAAACTTTAAACCCTGAACTTTAAAAGCCCTAGGTGGAAGGCTTTGTATCGGGAGTCCGAAGATCCGACGATGTTGGGGAAGTTGGAGATTTCTGCCCATTTGATTGGTCTGAAGAAGTGGAATCACCAGACTATGGCCATCAAATCTTGCACTCTCAAACCTGAATGATGGACAAGGGGCAATCCTGATAACAGTGGAATGTACCAGTAGTGCAGTTCTCCTGTTCCTGTTCCTGCTCCTGCTCCTACCCCTGCTCCTGTTGCCAGTACTATACAATACTACTACTGCTGCTACTACTACTACTACTACTACTAGTGCTACTGCTACTGCTACTGCTACTGCTACTGCTACTGCTACGGGTGGGTACTGCTACTGCTAGTGCCACTGCTATTGCTACTGCTCCTGTTACTGCTGCTACTACTACTACTACTACTACTACTAGCCACCCCCCCTCCTACCAACCACCTGGCGCCTCAATCCACCACCATCATCGGTCATCATCATCCATCATCATCCTTCATCATGCATCATCATCATCATGATCACCATCATCAACCATCATCATAGAAGAGGGTCCGCCATCACGAAAGTACTGTAAATACCGAGTAAAACGGCTCTTGTG